TTTCTCTCTCTCTCTTTCTCTCCCTCTCTTTCTCTCTCTCTCTTTCTCTCTCCCTCTCTTTCTCTCTCTCTCTTTCTCTCTCCCTCTCTTTCTCTCTCTCTCCCTCCCTCTCTCCCTCCCTCTTTCTCTCTCTCCCTCTCTTTCTCTCTCTCCCTCTCTCTCTCTCTGTGTCTGTCTGTCTGTCTCTCGATCAAAGTTGGGCAAATGGCTCATATTCACAACGATTGCGGGGTCCTGGGGTCACTCGATCACCTTTTGTGACCTTCATTTAATCTCACTTCTGTAACTTTGACAGGTCACTAAACGAACTATAGCAAGTCGAGGACTATCTATACAATGATCCGTTGGTCCAGTTTGTGAACATTTCCTGTTATATTTATTTCAACCATTTCCTATGCGATGAAATAGTTACTTACCACCTGACATCACCAGGTCAGGGTTTCACAAAATACTTCCTTTCCTAGATTTTCACAGAGTTTGAACAATAACCCACTTGTTAAAAAAAAAAAAGGAATTACAGTCTGTCTGGAAAAGGATGGGGGAAAAGTCCCAACGATGCTTTTCCAAGAGGCAACTGGACTTTCTGGTTTTTCTTGGAAGACGTTTCGCTTCTCATCCAAGAAGCTTCTTCAACTCTGACTGGATGGTGGGGAATGGAAGGATTTATGATCCTTGTGAGGAATATAAATCCTTCCAGTCCCCACCATCCAGCCAGAACTGAAGAAGCTTCTTGGATGAGAAGCGAAATGTCTTTAAAAAAAAACAAAACAGAAAGTCCACTTGCCTCTTGAAAAAGCACCTTTGGGACAACCACGACCCGGATGACTGAGAGTCTCCGTAGACATTTAGCGATGAGGGAGAAGCAAAAGCAGATATGTTGTACACACGTATCAGAAAAGTAATCCCATGAGTACCTCCTCAAAGCCTCCCTCCTCTGTTTATCAGCCTAATTAACAAAAACTTTGGGTAAACAAAGGGATGTCTCTGTAATCGACTTTGGTTTGTATGACTCATTATGTGTGTGTGTGTCTGTGTGTGTTGCATTTGTGCTGATAAATAAATAAATAAATAAATAAATAAATAAATAGATCTATACTAGTCTCGCTTTATTTATTTATCAGCACGAATGCAACACANTCTGTCTCTCTCTTTCTCTCTGTCTCTCTCTGTGTCTCTCTCTCTTTCTCTCTCTGTCTCTCTGTGTTTCTGTCTCTATGTCTGTCTCTGTCTCTCTCTCTCTGCCTTTCTCTGTCTCTCTGCCTCTCTCTCTTTCACTCTGTCTCTCGCTCTCTTTCTCTGTCTCTCTCTGTGTCTCTCCTTTCCCTTGGCTGGTTTTGGTGGGTAACTTGGCCTTCTAGAAATTCCAGTTTCTCTTTTTTACAAAATCTTCACACTTCCCTTCCCAAAGATCTGTTCAGCCTGTCCACCATTTGCAGGTGCATAAAACCAACAGATCAGACCAGCAATCTGATTTCTGCACCAGCTGCTCCAGTACAGGAAGTCCTCGACTTACAACAGTTCCTTTAGTGACCGTTCAAAGTTGCAACGGAACTGAAAAAGGTTGACTTGTGCTTGCTTTTCCCACTTATCAATTATTGCCACATCCCCTTGGTCACGTGATCACAATTCCGGAACAGTTGGCAACTGGTTCATATTTACAACCGTTGCTGTCTCCCAAGATCACGCGATCTGCTTTTGCAACTTTCTGGCCAGCCAAGTCAACAGGGAAGCCAGATCACAACCGTAACCGTGTGACTAACTTAACACATGCAATGATTCACTTAACAACGGCAGCCAGAAAAGTCGTAAAATGGGACAAACTCACTTAAAAATGTTTTACTTGGCAACATTAATTTTTGCGGTTGTAAGTCAAGATCTGTCTTTAGTCTTCTTGTCTCACAACTGCCAAGTTTTGCAGGTCTTTCTCTCTTTCTCTCTCCCTGTCTCTCTCTCTTTCTCTCTCTCCCTCTCTTTCTCTCTCTCTCCCTCTCTCTCTCTTTCTCTCTCCCTCTCTGTTTCGCTCTTTCTCTCTCCCTCTCTTTATTGTTTTGTTTTATTGTTTTTATGATTTATAGGCCGCCCTTTCCCTGAGGGGACTCAGGGCGGCTTATAATACTCTTTCTCTCTTTCTCTCCCTCTCTCTTTCTCTCTCTCTCCCTCCCTTTCTCTCCCTCTCTTTCTCTTTCTCTCTTTCTCTCTCCCTGTCTCTCNGAGTTCTCTTGACTCCTTCTTATAGTAAAGTTAATTACACCTGATAAGCACATCCACTCATTTAAAGCAACAGCAAGCATTTGTTATTGTAGATAGATATATATTGCCTACCCAACACTAGGAGTATACTCCCAACAGACCCCCCCCCCCAAATACAGACAGGCAAGACACCAAAAGATAAACTGTCAAGCAACCAGCACTCCTTACTAGCACTGATGCTGTTACCTAGTTTGGGTATTGAGACGTCTGCAAGAAAACAAGCAAGCTCAAGAGAGCACCAAGGATCTTCCTCCTGTCAACTCTGAGTTATAAATATTCTACTTTATTGGTTATAGCATTGTTTTTTGTTTTTTTTTCTTGTTTTAATTCCAGGCCGAAAACACTTCCTTCTCACAATTCCCATCACAAACCCATCTCACAATTCCTGCGCCACCATCCCTCTAGAAAGGAGAGTTCCCCAGGTCCCATTCCCAGCCTTGGCATTAAGAAGCGACAATGTCAGGAGAACACAGAAACCCAGCCGGCTTGGGTCTCCAGCTGGATGCCAATGTGGAGGACGGGAGGAAAGTCGAGATCCATGAAGAAGCCACACCCGAGAAGGAAGTGGTGGAAAGGCCTCTGAGGATCCCCTCGGAGAAAGCCAAGGAATCCGCGGAAAAAGGAACGGCGGAAGCCGTTAAGCAGGAGCCAGAGGCCGATCCCGAAGGCTGTTGCTTGGAAGTGGAAGAAGAGAAATTTGTAATGGGCAAACAGTCTCCGACATCCGAGCCTGGGAATGAGCAGCTGCTGAAGGCAGAAGGAAGCATCCATTCGGAGGCCGAACTCTCTTCCCTGGAGGAGACCTCCAACCTGGGGACGCATCGCCAGCGGAACAGGATAATCCAGCCCCTTTTGCGCATTAGCGAAGGACCCCAGCCGTTAGTCAACAGCGCCTGCGCGAAAGACAAAACGGAGTTCATAGAGGTGGGGGAGGAGGGCCTGGAGGTGACCGGCGTCAGCCTGGACATTGAACGCCAGTGTTTCCGGCAGTTCTGCTACCAGGATGCCGAGGGTCCCCGCGAAGTCTGCGGCATGCTCTGGAAGCTCTGCCACCGCTGGCTACAACCGGAGCGGCGTTCCAAAAGCCAGATCCTGGAGCTGGTGATCTTGGAGCAGTTCCTGTCCATTTTGCCCGAAGAAATGCAAAATTGGGTTCGAGCTGGGC